CTTCATCTAGAGTGGTTAATTTATAAACATTTCGTGAGCATCTACTCTGTGCCCACCATTAAAGTTATTGCAACCAACAGCTTCTCCTAAGGCAGATGTGCCACAGAGACCGCTGGGTCCATGGCTGAGCTCCTTGAGCAGGGAGCAAACTATCTAGTTCCTGAAAGTCCCCACCAGGCCAGGAATTCCCATCCTGAGGCATCTACAGAGGCCTGGCAGCCCCTGTCCACCTGGTTCCCAGGCTTACTGGCTTCTGCTCCATAGAGATGGGCCCCTTAGGGCTGTTTGTTGAGTGTCCTGTCCCCTTTGCGGGGTGTGTAATGGCTTGGTGTCTTCCAGATTCAACGTCCATCAGAACAGTTCATGCCCAGTCACTGGCTCTGTGCCAGGAACCTGCCTGGCAGGAAAACTGGGTGTAGGGAGACAGCAGAGGCAGGATACAAGCCCCTTCCTTGGAATTCTCCCCAGTGTCCATGCCTCCTCTTCCCAGCTGCCCATGAGCTTCTGGAAGGCCTTGAGCCTCATTTCCCTCCCCACCTAGCAAAATGCAATTAGCCCTCAATATTCACATACAGAATTGGATTTCTTGTTGAATAACAGTCTCATGCCTCCAAGCTCAAAGGGCCCACACAGATCACCATGTTTGCACCTATTTTACAGATGGGCAGAGTGAGGCTCTGAGAGGGGATGCCCTCAATCATTTTGGGTTCTCACAGCATTCTCACGGTCTTTTGGGCTGCCCTGGGTGAAGCAGGCAGTGTTCCCTGGCACTAAGCCTTGCCTATTCAGATTTGTGAGTGAAATTTGGAAAGGCCTTGGTGCTTAGCCACTGACCTGCTGCCTGCCTGACCTTTCAGGAAATGCAGCCTATTGCCTGAAAATGGCTTTGTGGACAGTGAGTTGTGTTGGCATCACCCACACAATACGGTGGGGAGAACTGGATAGTTTCCCTAGTTTCTCACTGAGCCCCACCTCATCAATCCTCCTCCAAAACCTGCCTGAAATCCACCTCTATCCTCCTGCCCTTTTTGTAATTATTTCACTGGAGATGTCCTTCTCCTCCGTGGCTGCACATTTATCCAACACGCCCTTTAGGATCCAAATGCCGCCACCTCCTCCTGGGAGCCTTCCTGTGTTTCTTTCCACCCCTTAATCAGCTTCACAATTCAATTGATCTACATCTCTTTGACAGCATTTATCACACTCTCCTTATATTATCTTATCTTTATGCAGTTGCAGGGGGTTCTCCATGACATAGTGATATCTGATGTCTCCCATCCAGCCTCTCTTCCCTACCCCAAGTTGCTGTGCCTGTCTCCTGCCCACATTACAAATGCGTGCATGACTGGAAGGCAGGACCATGTGGACATTTTTGTCCCTGCCCTCACAGTGGCAGACCCTTTTCCCCCAGAGTCTTGTACAGGGGTTTGCATACTGTAGGAGTTAAAACAAATAACTTACTTAAATTACCAATGGTTTGAGCATCTATCGTATCCCAGGCTCCATGTGTCAGGCTGGGTGCGGGGACACAGAAATGGATCTGACAATGACAGCGCCATGTGATGTGTGCTGCAATCCGGGTGTAGGGCAGAGCAGCTCATCAGAGTCAGATGAGCTCTGGGCTGCACCTAGAAGAACAACGAGGTTGTGAACAGGCAGAAAAGGGGCAGAGGGAGAACCTGGGAGGAAACAGTATGGAGAAAGCGTCGAAGTAGCCAAGCTTACCTGAGCCTGGGTGCAGGAATCAGAGAGACTGGAGCTCAGGAGGCCGGATCTGAAGCTGGGGAGGCTGGTGAGGATCTGCACAGAGCCCTTAAGGACTAAGATTTGGATCCTCGTGACAAGATGCAGAAGTTTGGAGTTAGGTTACCTGGGTTCAAATCCCACCTCCACCACCTACCAGTTTATGTCAGCTTTCCCATCTGTAAATGGAGAGAAAAAAGCAGGCCTCCCTTAAACCCCAGCACTGTGTGGGTCAGGGTCTGGACTAGGGCGTGGCACATGCAGAGACGCAGCATACCAGGAGATGCCAAGAAAACTCAGCAGTGCAGGTAAATTGCCCAAAGCAGTGCCCTGAACCCCTAAGTATCAAGATAATATTTTAATGCAATACTTTTAAAAGCATCAAAATTAATTCAAAACCCCGCAATGAACAAAATATCTAAAATGTAAATAAAGACAAGGTCTGCATGATGCCAAGTATGCAACTAAAAAAACATCAGTTATGATTGGAGAGGGAGTTCTTCAACCTTAGGGGGCCGTGGACTTCTGAAAACCAGAGGAAAGTCCATGGCCCCTCTCCCCTGAAGAATGCACAAACATGCTCAATTTGTGCATAGTTTGGGGGTGTTCCCGCACTCCCTGGGGTTCGTGCACATGGAAGTTAAGAACTCTGGTTCAACACTGGGGGTGTAGGGGTGGCGGGGGTGTCTCCACACGCCGGCCAGGAGCCTGCCAGTTCCCCAGTCCCACAACGGGCCTCCCTCCTGGCAGCCATGGGTGCTCTGCCCTCTGCAGGAAGCAGCGCACAGTTATGCAGCTCCCCCCACCCCCCTACCTTCCCTCTCTCGGCTTGGGACTTTTCCTAAAGTTTGTTGAAACCAGACACCTTGCTCGACCGAGCCCGCTTGCAGCCAGGGTTTAAAAGGCCGCCTTCAGCGCCCCCTCCCCGCCCCCAGCGGAGACTTCAAAAGGCCCGTCGGGCGCCGCGGCCCCAGCACCTATGAGCCGCCCCCAGCTCTCGGAGCCCGCGCTGGAACCCGTGGACGCAGAGCGGCCGAAGTTCGAGCGCAGGCGGACCGGGCCGGCGGCGCAGTCCCGCGCGCCCATGCCCCTCCCGGTGCCGCTGCGCTCTGCGCGCCCGCGCCCCGTTTAGGGAAGGGGACCTCGCCCCCCCCGCCCCCGCGCCCACGGCTGCGGGGACCCATGAATACAAATGCCGTTAGGCGCCGGAGGAAGGACCGACCGGCCAGGCTCGCACTTAGGAACACAGTAAGTGCTTGGGGGCTCCTGGAGCGCTGGGAAGTGTTCTGTGCCTGTGTGTGTGCGCGCGTAAAGGTGTGCGCGTATGGGGAGGTGGGTACACGCGAGAGGAGTAAATGCGTGTGTGCACGTGTACGGTGGGCACTCTCGGAGATCTGTGTGCAAGTGAGGGTGTGCGCGCGTGTGTGCACCTGGGGTGTGTACACGTGCGGGGACGATATGGCCAGGATAGTGTGCGTTTGTGCCTGTGTAAGCATCCATGTGCATGCGATTTCGAGTGTAGAGTATCAGCGTGCGCCTGAACCCAGATACCTGAGGATGCATTTCGTGTGAACCTAGGAAGGGTGCGTGACTGTCCCTGCATGTGACCGGGTGTGAGCGTGTGTCTGAGTTTGGGGAAAGCGTGGATACGTGTGGAAGTGTGTGTGTGCACCGGCGTATAAGTGTAACTTTGCTCGTGAACGAGTGGCAAGAGGTGGTAGAGGCGGGGGGAGCTGTGGTCCCAGGGCTGGACTGGGGTTGTGGGTGTGAGAATTTGCTCGGGGGCCAACGTGTGCAGCTCTTAGCTCCAGTATGGGATCCGAGCGAGTTTTTGTCGATTCTGTGGAGGTGCGTGAGGGGGCGGGGGTGCGGTTAGATTCCAATTTCTGACAGAAGGGAGAGAGAGGGTGGCAAACCTTTAATAAGCCCACTCTGTGTGTTCTCCAGGGCGCTCTGAGTCTGGAAGCGCAAACTTTTGGTGGGCGGTGGAGGTCAGGATACTGGTTGTCATGGGAGTCTGGACACCAAGTCCTGGTTCTAGCTCTGTCCCTGAAACTGTGGGTTTCTTCCAGGAGTAGCATTTGGCCCTTCTCCCTCTACCCCAACCCCCCATTGGAGGACCCCCAGCCTCACCAGTCAGAAGTTCCTAATCTCAGAACGGTGATCAAATCACCATGAAGCCCTGGGCAGCCCCTGCCTCTCTGTGAATCTGTTTCCCCATCTATACAAGGGGGAGGGGGGCGGGTGTCCCAGCGGGGCTGTAGTGGGCCAGCTAAGGCTGTATCCTTAGCTGCTGCCGGCAGGGGGCAGCAGGGGGCAGCAGAGGGCGGCCCGGCGCGGGGAGGAGGGAAGGTGGAGAGACACCGCGGGCCGAGACTTTAAATCGCCTTCATTTCCCCCAAATCCTTCCTTTTCCTCTCCTCCCCCAGGCCGGCGGGGAGGCAGCTTCCACCGCCCTCCGCGCGCCCTCACCCGGCCTTGCTCTGCCTCCGGGGACCGCCAGCAGCCCGCCTCCAAAAGTTTGATCATCTCTCTCTCTCTTTTTCTTGCTTCTTCTTCCTTTTTGGTGGAAGCAGAAAAGGAGCGAGGCAGGGGCGAGCGCGGCGCCCGGACTCCTGGGACCATGGGCCTGGCGCGGGCGCCCGCGGGGCCCCAGCCGCGCTGCCTGCCTGCTCGGGCGCCCCTGGGCGCGGGGCTGCTCTGGGGGCGCGGGGGCCGCGCGCTCTGAGCCGGCCTGGCGCGGCGGGGCGGGGGGCTGGCGGCCCCATGGGGCGCGCCCACACTTGCCCCCCGGGCTCGGGAGCATGAAGTAGGGGCCTGCCATGGGAGCGGGATCGGCGCGGGGGGCCCGAGGCACAGCGACGGCGGCGGCGGCGCACGGGGGGTGAGTACGAGCTCGGGGACGCCCCCTCCCCAGCTTCCTGCTGCTCCAATCTCGGGGAGGGCCGGGGTTCCCCGCCACGCGGTCGCTTCCAGCGGAACGTCAGCTTCCTGTCCCTTCCTGCGCCCCCGCGAGGCGGGACGCCAAGGGTTAATAGGGGCTGCGCCCCCGGCCGGGCCAGAGTTGGCTAGCGCTGCCCGCCCTGCCGCGCCTGGCCCGGCTGCCCGATCCCGTTGGGGCGGGGGCAGAGCCAGCCCGGGGGTCGGGGGTGGGGGTGGGTGGTGGCGCCTGGAGCGGCCGGCGGGGTGCGGAGGGGGGCTTTTTGGATGCCTGGGGGAGGAGGGGGGGTCTCCGTTTGGGGCCGTGTCGGTGTGTTCCGGTGTCTCGGTGTCTGCAGGTCCCAAGCCTGTACGTCTCCGTTTCTATCTGTTCTTGTGAAATTGTCCGCAAGTTTCTAGGTCACCAGGTCTCGGGTTCTGCTCCTGTCTCCGTGTCTGTGTGCCTCTGCACGTCCCCGCGTTTCTGGAAATCTCCGCGTGTATGTGTGAGTCGGCCGGAGTCTGTGTGTCTGTTTCCTGCTTCTCGGTTCCTGTCCCTTTCACGTGTGTAAGAGAGAAAAAGTGAGAGCCAGCATGTCAGAGCAGAAAGGGCCCTGGGCGATCACTGTGCGGAACCTCTCAGTGTACAGATAGGGAGACAGGGCCGGAGAGGGGCAGGGACTCTCCCAGGAGCGGCTGCGCGGAGCTGGGGCCCAGAGACTGGGATTCCCAGCGTGTGGAGTAGGATTTGTAAGAGAGAGTGAGCCTGTGCTAGAGCCGGCGCAGCGTGTGGGTGTGTGTGGGAGCCAGCAGCATGCAAGCAGTCCCTCGGGGCCTGTGGACGGCGCTCCTCTCTTTCCATCCTGCCCCCAGGACACCAGGACACTCCCCAGAGGCTGTCAGGGCTGTAGCTGGGCCCTGCCCCCTCTGAGCTGGAATCCGCAGGATGACACCCCCTCCTTTCTTCCCCATGTCTTGGAAAAAGCTGGCTGGTTGTGATTCCCCAGCCCCGCACCCCCTCACCACAACACACACACACACACACACACATACACGGCACCAGTGAGCACGCTGCTGACTCATTTTCTCCAGAAGACCCTGCACCAGGGTAGATGCCAGCAGTTGGGCAGAAAAGTGGTGCCAGGTGAGCACCCCATGGTGGAGCTCCAGCTTTGGGCAAGTGGGCCGCCACACTGCTTAGAGGCCCAGTCTCTGCCTTCTCCTGCCTCCCTGCCTCCCTTGCCATCATGTCATCCTCCATCATGTGCGCTCTGGCTCCAGCATGCCTCTGCTTTCCATCATGCCTCTGCCCCTGGACGCTTCTGGCCGGACCAAACTCCATGTCATGTCTATGGACACATCCCTGGCCTCTGATTCTTTCTGTTTCCTCCTGGTACTCAGAAAATTCTCCGTCTCCTGTGCCTCCACCGGCCCTGTGGACCCCCAGCAGCCAGCAGCCTCCTGGTGGTCTCTGTCCCTTTCTGAGCACACTGCCCCTGTTCTTTGTTGGTATTTTCTCTCCTCCGTCTCTGTCCAGGGACCCTCTTGACACCCACCTGTCTGGCTTGGCTATGCAGAGTACCATATCCACTGGTGCTAGGGGACAGCAGTGAGACACGGAATCATGTTCGTGGGAGGCAAGTGGCACCACAGGAAGGCCACGAGGCTTGCCGTCAGGCAGGCTCAAGTTTGAATCCTAACTCTGCTACGCGAGCTTGGGTGAGCCACTCTGCTGCTTGTTCTTCTCTTCCACAAAACTGGCACCTTGTTCCCAGCTGGCTAGGTTTTGTGAAGATGAACAGGACCAGGCTTGTAAAGGACTTAGAACAGGGCCTGGCATGTAATAAGTGTTCAATAAACAGCAGCTGGTATTTGTATTATTCCCTTCATGTTGAATGGGTGTGTGAGTCAATGGGAAAGTTCTGGGCTGCATCCTGTCCAGACGATGACCTGTCTCTGTTCCCATGGAGGATGTGGAAGCTGTGAATAGCCATTTGGGCACAGGGGGTCTGGCCAGTCCATGGAGGCAGGTGGGACAGGTCCATCCGACTTGCTGCGCTGTAGTTCCAGTTAGCTCCCTTTTCAGTTTTTACCCCATGTGTGAACAGCCAAGCCTAGTGTCCATAGGGCCACTTTCCCTGTGCATTTCTGTGGCCTGGGTCTCAGCTCAGAGCCCTCAGTGACAGTTGAAGCTGGTATGGGTTTCCAAGATCCTGTGGGTTTCCAGGTAATAAGGATGGAAGAAAACTATCCAAGCAGACTGCCGGTTCTGGCAGTGTAGTTACCCAGGAGTAGTCCCATTTGGTGCACTGGCAGAGGGCCTTTTGCAGGGCATAGGAACACCTGGGTTTCCTGCTTGGAGGGCTGTGCGGCCAGACGATGTTTCCGTGCGATGTTTCCTCGCAGCTCCCATTTCGGCTGCCTCCTGGCCACCCTGGCCTCTGTGCTCTGGTCTTCTTGACATTCTGGAGCCCTGGGTTCGCAAAGCCAAGGCCCACAAGGCAAGTGGTGAAAACAGAAGTCTGGAAGAGCAAAGCCCTGAGGCAGCACAGGCACTAAACATGATTAGCAGTAGCCTAAACAGGATTGGAACGGGAGCAAAAGAATCGGCAGGGCCTCCCTCTGAGTGCCAAGTTTCCAGGCCTGGAGCTGACTTAGATGACTCGTTGGCTCCCTGGGTTGCATCTCTGTTCCTGCTGGTGAAGGCTGGGACTCCGGTCTCTGGCAAGTAGGAAGTCCCTGCAAGTCTTCAATTTCTGCTCCATGGAGACAAGTCAAATGAAAAGGACTATCTGTTAAGTCATAGACTTGAAGCACTGTGTGACTTTGGGCAAATAACTTTCCCTCTCTGGGCCTCAGTTACCCATCTTTGCAAGGAAGGGAGAGAGAGGACTAGAATGTGACCCCTAGATGATCTTAAATGGCCTTCTCCAACTCCGACATGCTGTATACTTGGCAAGTTTATGAGTCAAGTGCACAGAATCCATTTCCAAGAGGGTCAGTTGCATTTGTCAGGGAGAATGAATGGAGGCTGAATACTTTTGTAATAGGCCTTCAGGGCTAACGTCCTCCAGTTGGAAGCCATGGTGTGAGGAAGCTTAATTGAAGAGAAGATTCTGATTCTATGTCTCCTGTGAGACTTCTTTCTCCTGACTTGCAGGGATTACAAGGATATATCCTCTAATTCTCTGCAGAGTAGTCACTTTGGTATAGCTGTAGCCAGGGAAATCGACCGAGAAGGACATGTATGGTTTTTGTACCTTCTCTTCCGCACCTTGCCTTTCTTTATCAGTTTGGGAAACTTCCTAAGTTCCTAGGAAGTTTGGTATGTGACATAATCCGATGAAGGACTCAAGGAGTGAGGGCAGGTGCCAGACAAGGGCCAGGAAGAGAGGGGACTGGAAGGAGATGGAACAGAAATTAGTGGGGTTACAGGAACACAGGAAGGCAAGGGGTAGTCTCTTCTGAGAAGGCATTCACAGAAAAAATGAGTTCTCAGTTTGGGAACTGCTGAATGACAGAAAGTACAGGCAACTTGTTGATCGCAGGATTTCTCAGAGCCTTTGATATACAGGTGTGCTTTCCGGATTGTCAAGACTGGGATGCAGGGGACAGCTCTTCCCTAATGTATCTGGCCAATTTCCTAGAAAGCGTGTCTCTGGTGGGTGTGGGAAATACTACTGAAGAGTTATGAACCCAGACGCTGCCCAGGATGGAAGTACCTGCCTTCCCTGAGCCTCAGGATTCTCCATTTGTCTAATTAAACAAAGCTGCCTTTTATTTCTCTCCAGGGCTCATGCTATTGCCATTTGCTTCAAGGGAGCAAGTCATGCCAGAAAGGTTGGCCCTGCCCTTCTCCCCAGGCAACCCCAGGGCAGCTTGACACTTTGACCTTTAGTCGTTGCCCATGGTGAGCTGGGGGCCTGGCCCCATGAAAAAGGCATTCTCCCAACAGTGGCAGCAGATTGGAGAGGATGAAGAGGAAGGACCAAGGATTATCTCGGAGCAATTCTGGAAAAAGTCAGAGCAGGGGAATTAAGGCTTTGGGAAGACACTTTTTAAAGTCCAGAGTCCTATAATACCAGGTAATATTAATTCATCTTATAAAAATATACTGGACACTTCCTATGTGCCTGCCAGCGGCTGGAAATGTAAGAGTGAATAAGCCCGGCATGGTGGCACATGCCTGTGATCTCAGCTACTCGGGAGGCTGAGGTGGGAGGACAGCTTGAGCTCTGGAGTTCAAGTCTAGCCTGGGCAACATTGTGAGACTCTGTCTCAAAAACAAAAAACAAACAAACAAAAAAAGAGTGAATAAGACGGGCGTCCTTGCCCTTTAGAGACTTAGTCTAGACAGGGAAATAGGAGAGTAGACAATGACCACACATGTGAGACCCACTGTAGTGAGGCATGTGCAGTGAGCTGCGGGAGGCGACACCCATGCTGGGATCTAATGGATGTGCAGGAACTGACCAGGCAAAGGAGTAGTGTCTACATGATGGGAGTAGCATGTGCAAAGACCCAGAGCTGGAGAAGGCGTTCAGGGGACCATCACTGGCATCTGAGTGCTGTTTCAGCTGGTTTACATTATGCTGCAAGTAACTGAAGACCCAACTCAAAATAGTTTAAACGATAAGGGGGGTTATTCCCATATCAAGAGGCCTCAAGGAAGAGCAGTACTAGCGTTGGTGAATTCAGCATCTCAACAGTGTCTTCAGACACCCACTATTTTTCTATTCTGCCATCCTCACGTGCTCTTGGGGCTTGTTACCTCATGTGCCCAAAATGACTGCAGCAGCTCTGAGCAGTATGTCCTTACTCAACAGCATACGGAGGCTTGAAGAAAACCTTCTCTGCTTTCTCAGGGTCTCTAACAGGCATCCCTCACCTCTCACTGACCACATTTGGGTCTTATACGCATGCCTAAACCAGTCACTGGCATGGCAAATGAAATTCTCAGGATCAGCTTAGATTTATCCAGATTCACATAGGCTCCTGTACGTCCATGCCTATGTGAGCAAGCAGGAAGGAGGGATGTCTGTGGGTATGTAATCACCAGGGTCTTCGCCATGCCCACAATGACAGAAGCTGTCATCTACAGTGTCCAGGGAGTCTGGGAAGAACCTAGGGTTCCAGTTATCAACCCTGGCAAACAGGTTTCCTAGATTACATGATTCCACAGAAGCACAGCACACCATCCTAGCTTTCCTCTTGGAAATGCATCCTGGGCCTGTCTGTCCCAGCCTTAGCCCTCACCACCCACCTGACACAGCTCTCTTGCTGTGCCCCGGCTGTCTCTGGCCACGTGCCGCCCTCCCCTCTGCCTGCCTGGGGATCAGATACCCCAGGTGGCTTCGGGTGTCACTGGTGGCTGCTCCCACAGGAAGGTGAAATTGTATCATTGCCTTTGCCCATCTTGGCAGGAACCACAGAGCAGAACTTTAACCCTTCCTGGCCCCAGAGTGTAGGGACAGCGGGAACCGTCTAGGGGAGTATTTTGCATGAGCTTATTGAATCCTCATGCCTGACCTGCGAGATAGGGAACATCAGCCCATGTTGTAGAAGACAAGACAGGCTCAGAGAGGCTGAGCGACTCATGCGGGTTCATACAGCTGATAAGTGACAGGGCCATGTTTGCAGCTGGCTCTGTCTAACTCCCCCTCATCCCCTCTGTTTTCTTTCTCCCACTTTCCATTAGGATAAAGCCAAGTCAGGAGCTGCCTTCACCCACACTGGTTCTGGTTAAGGGGTCTCCTCTCTCCTGCCCTGTGTGGGGATTGGTCTTCCAAGCAGACCAGCCTGGTCTTCCCACTGACCTTTCACCCCTGGCTCTGCAGGCCATTGGCTGGGGTCTGGGGAAGGGTCTCAAGATCATGAGGCTGTAGTACAGATGGGGAGACTGAGGCTCGGAGAAGGGGAGGGGCTGGCCCCTGGTTGCCCAGTGAGTCAGCATCAGATTTTGAGCTGGACCCTAGATGTTCCAATGACCAGGGCAGGGCTTCCTGTGAGCTGCTTCCTGCCCACTGACCTTGGCTAATCGATTTGTGAAAAGCAAGGCTGTGTTTGTGCATGTAAGCAGGTCTTCACTGAGAGGCTGTGCCTGGAGGCCAGGAAGAATGGGCTGCTGCTCTGATGGGGTCCTAGAGCCTACACCTGGCCTCCTGCCTTCTGTGGGCAGGACTGGGGTGAGACTGGGACTGGTGTCCACTCCCAGCTTCCCCAGCCGGATCTGGGCGTGAGCGGGTGGAAGCTGATGCCGCCTCTGCTTGTGTCTCCTGGTCTCTAGGGGGTTTCTCTTCTCCTGGATCTTAGTCTCGTTTGCCTGTCACCTGGCCTCCACCCAAGGAGCTCCTGAAGGTAATTCTGTCTTCTCTTTGTCCAGGGGGAGACAAAGGAGAATGGAAGGGGCCTGAGAACTCAGGGGTAGGAGACAGCGGTGCCTGTAATTGGAACTCAGTGCCTCAGTTTTCCCATCAGCAGAATGGAGATGATAATTGGCAAATTCTCTTTAGGCTTGAAATAATCACATTTGAGTCCAGGCTCACGCCTGCAATCCCAGCACTTTGGGAGGCCAAGGTGGGTGGATCATGAGATCAGGAGATCGAGACCATCCTGGCCAACATGGTGAAACCCCATCTCTACTACAAATACAAAAATTAGCTGGGCGTGGTGACACGCGCCTGTAGTCCCAGCTATTTGGGAGGCTGAGGCAGGAGAAATGCTTGAACCCAAGAGGCGGAGCTTGCAGTGAGCCAGATCGCGCCACTGCACTCCAGCCTGGCAACAGAGCAAGACTCCGTCTCAAAAAAAACCAAAATCACATTTGAAGTTTTTGTAAAGGGGTAGGAAAGACTCAGTGCAGAAATGCAGAAAGGGGATGCTTGTGTTGTTTCTGGGGCAGAATTTGAGTAAGTTACTCCGGTTTTAAGCCTTGGTTGTCCCTGTTTGTCCAATGAGTGCTGTTAAGAACTGCTTAAAAAAACAAAGCATTAAGCATTAACTGTCATGGCCCAAGCCTGGGATCCCATCTTCCCCTTCCCGTGAGATCCTGCTTTTCCCTCCTATCCCTGAGGGGCTGTCCAGGGGGCCGGGGCGATGATGGACTGGCTCCACATCTGCCCAGGGAAACTGAAACCTCTCCCACATCTGTTTGTCAAGCAGCCGCGTGCCTCTGAAAATAGCCGCCCTTCCCCCGCCTTCACACCCAGCCCTTGTGCTGGGGCAGGCAGCCTGGCACGCTGGGAGTCCCTATGGCCTGACCTGGCCACTCGGCAGGGATTGGGCCCCTGGGAGGGCAGGGCTGTGCCCGGAAGAGACTTCTGCTGCCCAGCAACATTTTGTGCAAATGTCATATTTTCCAAGCTTGCTGTTTCCCCCACAAAGTAGGTGAACAGCTGTCCAGAGTCCTGAGTCAGGCACTGGGGTGGGGGGTTGGGGAGAGGCTGGAGCTGTGTGGAGCCAGGTTTATGTAATAAAGGGATATTGTGGGGGCCAGCTGGCAGGCTCCTTCTATCTTGGCGTTGGGCTGAATTTATTCCCCTGTCCCCCATCTCTTCACCGGTGATGGGATGCTGGATGTGTGTCCACCCTGCTTTCCAACAAGCCTGGGAGGCCCCCGGCAGAATAGCATCATGGCTAAGCACAAAGACCCCGGAGTCAGGTGGCCTGGGTTCAAACCTTGGCTGTGCCTTTTTTGAGCTGCAAGTTATTCCCTCTGACTCTTCCGAGCCTCCTCTGTAAAGTGAGGATAATAAAGAGTACCTGCTCCATAGATTGTTGAGAGGATCAAGTGAGATCATACCTGTAAAATACTTGGCATATAGTAAGTGCTCAACAAGTATTAGTTTTTCTTATTGGTGTTAATTAGTTACCTGAAAAATTCGGGCAAGAACAACCCTTTCCTATGCCCTGCGGGGCCCACAGTGGTCAGAGACTCACGGCAGCTCTGTGCTGGTCGCCTTTGCCAGGTGTCAGGGTTTGAGACTTTGCCCTTTAGCTGCAGATGGTCTTTGGGGGACACCTGGAGACTGGCTGGTTGTCAGCTTAGAAGCCCACCCAGTGGATAGGGGAAACCTCACCCGTGCTGCCTGGCCCAGCCAGTTGTGACTGTCTTTGGGTAAGTGCAGGTTGGCCCTAAATTCCATGTGTGGAGAGGGATGTGAGCAGGCCTGAGGAGCCCTCCAGGGGTTGTTGAGTGGGGACTAAAGGAAGGACCAGGTGGCTTCCTGCCCTTACCTCTTGTCCAACCAAATGGCTCCTCCCATTCTAAGTCCCAGTTTATAGTGAATAATAGTGAATAGTATATCATGATAATAAGAGGGTTTCAGTGATTAAAACAGATACCACTAAGAGGATCCTTAATCAGCAGTTTATTTTAGCTTAGAACCTGAGGGCAGACAGATGGGAGAAAGGATGGGAAGGAGGAGTTTGAAATGAAATGAAAGCCCCTTGGGTCCTAAGGAAGAATAAGGGTCTTAAACTCAAGCCAACCTGAACCAGCAACACAGAGCTATAGAATTCTTAGAACATGGCAACACCTGTGCTATCTCAAGGTCTGTTTCTCTTGTCTTACAGGCAGGGAATTGAGGTCCAAGTGTCCGTAAGAGACTCAAGCAGAGTTACTCAATGTGGGGCTTGGGTGAAGATGATGTGGAAGATGACCATTTCATCCCCCTAACAGCCCTATGGTGTAGGCGCTCTTTACAGCTCTGTTTCACAGTGGAGAGAACTGAGGCTCAGAGTCCAGGTTCACTGCTGGTCTTCTCAGGCTCTGCATTTTGCCCTTCTGACTCCAGAGTCTGCTAGAGAACCATTATGACATGCTGCCAGCACTCAGGTTCTCAGTTTCCCCCAGGAAACTGTCCTTCTATCCATTTATCCACCCATTCATCTGCCTATCCATTTACCCATCCATTTATCTATCCATCATCCATCCATCCATCCATTCATCCATCCATCCATCCATCCATCCATCCATCCATCCATCCATCTATCCATCCATTCATCTACCCTTTCATCCACCCATCCATCCATTCATCCATTTATCTATCCATTCACCCATCCATCCTCTATCTACCAATTCATCTACCTATCCATCCATCCGTTAATCCACCCACCCACCCATCTATCCAGCCAGCCAGCCAGCCATTATCCATCCATCCATTCATCCATTTATCCATCCATCCACCCATCCATCCATCCATCCATCCATCCATCCATCCACCAATTCATCTACCTATCCATCCATCCATTCATCCACCTACCCATTCCATCCATCCAGTCAGCCACTATCCATCCATCCATCCATCCATCCATACATACATACATACATACATCCACCCATCCATCCATCCACCAATTCATCTATCTATCCATCCATCCATGCATTCATCCATCCACCCATCCATCCAGCCAGCCATTATCCATCCATCCATCCCTTCATCTATTCGTCCATCCATCCATCCATCCATTTATCCATCCTTCCATCCATCCATCCATCCATCCATCCATCCATCCATCCATCCACCAATTCATCTACCTATCCATCCATTCACTCATCCACCCACCCATCCAGCCAGCCAGCCGGCCATTATCCATCCATTCATCTATCCATCTATCCATCCAACCATCCCTTCATCTATTCATTCATCCATCCATCCATTCATTCATCCATCCATCCATTTATTCATCCATCCATCTATACATCCATCTACTCATCTATCCTTTCATCCATCCATTTTTCCATCCATCCATCCATCCATCCATCCATCCATCCATCCCCCAGTTGTCAACTGAGGAGCAAACGCCAAGTGTTGCATTCAACCCCCAGCACAACCTTTGCAGGGGGTGATAAGGAGAGAGCATTCAGTACTCAGGGCCTATCTTGCTGAGCTCAGGGGAAGGGCCTTAAGGACCTGACCAAGACTCAGATTCCAGAGGAAGCTTTTCCTTCCCTGCTGAGTCAGAGCTCAGGAGCCTGCTTTGCCGACACTGGCAGCTCAGCTGACTGAAGGGGTCTAATGGTCTGGGAGGGGAAAGGTCAGGAAGCCTTTCCATAAACACTCTGGAAGCCCTCCTTTTGCTTTTGCTCTGGCAAGCCCTGCTGACATAATTATTGGGCGGATGTGACCTGGCCAGACCACAGTCAGATATCCATACACTTTGCCAGAGGACAGAGGTTGCAGGGATGCTTTGATTGCTTCCCCTTCTCTCCCCAGAGCCCTGCGGGGAGGAGGAGGAGTCAGCGGAAATGCCCTCACCCTTCTGATAGCAGATAGCAGCCCCGTAGCCTGGTAGAGACACCTTGGGAGTGGGAAGGGGCATGGGTGGGTCCCTGAGGAGATGGTGAAACCTGTGAGACCCCTGGGACATCCTTTACCAAGCTCTGGTGACAGGTCTATTCTTGTCACCCTGGTCCCTCACTTATGGGACTGCTTCCTGGAGGAGATGGCTTTCCTGGTGGAGAAAAAGGAGTATAACGTGTCACTGTTGCGCAACCTGTAACACTCTCAGCAAGAGCATTTGGTGATTATCATTACTTTTAGTATTAGTTATTATTTGAAAGTGCTGCTTTTGTACCAGGCACTTAAAAAAATGTATTCACTCATGTAACTGTTACATCTTTCTGAGGTTGGGACTGTTACTATTCCATTTAATAGATGGGAAAACTGAGGCACTAAAGTCACAAGATTAGTGTTAGAGGTAGGATTTGAACTCAGGAAGTTTGGCTCCAGAGTCTGTTTTTTAACCCCAGTATGCAAGATTATGCAGCCAGATAAGGGGTCACAATCCCTGCCGGATGGTTCCAACGCTGCCCTCTCAGCCACCACCATGGGGCGGCATTATTTTTAGATGAATGAACAAAGGACTAGGTAGCTGTGGGTGGACTGTCCACATTGTCTGTGCCCCTTAGGGGGTGGGGGTGGGGCGGGCTGGAGCAGGCCCTGACTGCTTCCTCTCCCCTTTTCCCTCCCTCTCAGATGTGGACGTCCTCCAGCGGCTGGGCCTCAGCTGGACGAAGGCCGGGAGCCCTGCACCCCCGGGAGTCATTCCTTTCCAGTCTGGCTTCATCTTTACGCAGCGGGCCCGGCTCCAGGCTCCCACGGGCTCCGTCATTCCTGCCTCCCTGGGCACAGAGCTGGCGCTGGTGCTGAGCCTCTGCTCCCACCGGGTGAACCATGCCTTCCTCTTCGCTGTCCGCAGCCGGAAACACAAGCTGCAGCTGGGCCTGCAGTTCCTCCCCGGCAAGACGGTCGTCCACCTGGGGTCCCGGCGTTCGGTGGCCTTCGACCTCGACATGCACGACGGGCGCTGGCACCACCTGGCCCTCGAGCTCCGAGGCCGCACAGTCACTCTGGTGACCGCCTGCGGGCAGCGCCGGGTGCCTGTCCTGCTGCCTTTCCACAGGGACCCTGCACTCGACCCCGGGGGCTCCTTCCTCTTTGGAAAGATGAACCCGCATGCAGTCCAGTTTGAAGGTGCTCTGTGCCAGTTCAGTATCTACCCCGTGACGCAGGTCGCTCACAATTACTGTACCCACCTGAGGAAGCAGTGTGGACAGGCTGACACGTACCAGTCCCCACTGGGACCTCTCTTCTCCCAAGACTCTGGCAGACCTTTCACCTTCCAGTCTGACCTCGCCCTGCTAGGCCTGGAGAACTTGACCACTGCCACACCAGCCCTGGGGTCACAGCCAGCAGGCAGGGGACCCAAGGGCACTGTGGTGCCCGCCACTCCCACCAAGCCCCAAAGGACTAGCCCCACAAACCCTCACCAACATATCACGGTGCGAGGCCCAGCCCAAACCCCACTGCTACCTGCCAAGCTGTCAGCCAGTAACACACTTGATCCCGTGCTCCCAGCCTCTCTTGGCGGCTCCACCAGAATGCCTCGCCCTGCAGCCGCTCAACCATCACAGAAGATCACAGCCACCAAAATCCCCAAAAGCCTCCCTACCAAGCCTTCAGCCCCTTCTACTTCAATTGTCCCCGTCAAAAGCCCCCATCCTACCCAGAAAACAGCTGCACCTTCATTTACAAAGTCAGCCCCACCCACTCAGAAGCAAGTACCACCTACTTCCCGTCCAGTTCCTGCCAAAGTATCCCGTCCCGCAGAGAAGCCCATCCAGAGGAACCAAGGAATGCCCAGGCCCCCACTGCCCAGCACCCAGCCCCTACCTCCTACCACCAGCTCCTCTAAAAAACCCATTCCCACACTAGCTCAGACTGAGGCCAAGATGACTAACCATGCCAGTAAGCCGGCCTCTGCCCGCACCAGCACCCACAAACCTCCTCCATTTACTGCTTTATCCTCATCTCCTGCCCCTACTCCTGGTTCTACCAGGACGACTCGGCCACCAGCCACAATGGTGCCTCCAACCTCGGGCACCAGCGCTCCCAGAACAGCACCTGCCATCCCCACTCCTGGCTCAGCTCCCACTGGAAACAAGAAGCCCACTGGATCGGAAGCCTCAAAGAAAGCCGGACCTGAGAGCAGCCCCCGGAAGCCCGTCCCCCTCAGACCTGGGAAGGCAGCCAGGGATGTCCCCTTGAGCGATCTGACAACCAGGCCTAGCCCCAGACAGTCCCAGCCCAGTCAGCAGACCACCTCAGCCCTGGTATTGGCCCCGGCACAATTCCTGTCCTCCAGCCCCCGGCCCACGAGCAGTGGCTATTCGTTCTTCCACCTGGCAGGATCTACGCCTTTCCCTCTGCTGATGGGGCCTCCGGGGCCCAAGGGAGACTGTGGTTTGCCGGTAAGACTGAGTGGGGTCTGCATGCTGCGTGGAGCTCCAGTGGGGGACTGGGGCATTGGTCAAGTGGTTGCCCCTGATAAAGAAGGAAAAGGAGCAGCTTAGAGCAGGGAGCTGGTTATGGGCACATCCTCGGCTCCAGCCAGGCCCCTGGCTCCTCTGGCTCTGCTAAATGCATCATTGCTCACTCTGCTCCAGATTCATGATCCACTGGGACAGACTTAAGTCTGGTGGTTAACCCCAGGTGAAGAGCACCCCTGGGCTTTGGTTGGCCCAGGTCCAAGCCCATTCTTTGCTAACCCAGCTGCAAAGGTCGAACAGCTTAAGGAAAGCCCGTAGCTGTCTGGCCCCAGATCATGCAGTGAGTAAGCAGCTTCCAAAGCCCCGCTCTCCCAGCTCATGGAGCAGGGGTCCTTCTGGCCATCAGCTTGTCTGAGAGTTGCAGACAAAGGTCACACATGGGGAGCTCTGGATATGTTTTGTTTGGCACGTGCAGTGTCCTTTTTTAAAAATCCAATAAGTTACTAACATTTGAAAAATGTGAGAGATTTCTTATAAAAAGACTCAGCAACCAGCTTCTCTTGGAAAGTGGGAGGTGCAATGGCACTTGAGCCACCCCGTTAGAACAAGTCCGCTCTTGTCTGTGCTGGTCCCCACTTCTCCTGACTGAGTCTTCCGACCAGTCCCTTCACCTGTTTATGTTACCTGCCTGCCCAGCGCCTGCAGGAGTTTGATTTGTAACGCCCGGTAGGAGTTTGGGGTGCGGAAGATCAGCGTGGGCCAGAAGGAAGAGGAAGGGAGAAGAAAGAACACGACTTGCAGGATGGTCTCAGGGTCGATATCTCTGGCTTGCCTGGGACCGTCTCCAGGGGCAACGACCTTCCCACAGCTGGAGGCCAATTCCTCTGGGTGGGGAATGATGGGATGGCGTTTCCAGAAGCCTCAGGGCTCTGCTCTGTTCTCCCGCCTTGGAGACGACCACCGTGTGGTGGCCTCTCTCTCTCCTTCCTGAAGCCGGCTCTCCCACTGGGCTCTGTGTTTGAGGTTAGGGCTCCCTGCAATGCGGAGACAGTGGCAGATGCTGGGAATTCCCAGGCCTTCCAAACACACTTAATGAGTTTTAATAATCATTAGGAATAATATTTATCCAGCCTGTCTCCAAGGGGACTGAGAGTCCGCCTTTATTATAACCATATTGTCGAACTTATGGAAACTGTATGCATTGCTTTGCAATTATGTCAATGTTCTGCTCAAGTTCCGTGTTCTGAAATTGGCAGCGTAGAGAGTTGGGAGCCACCACTTTCTTGTGGAAAGAACGAGGAACCCTTTTCACCTCTCCAGCCAACCCAGGCCAACTCCGGCACCAGGTGCCTTGGGGCCCTGACAGCTCAGCTTCCCACGCTGTGTGTGTGCTGGGCTCAATGGTGGTGAGGTCAAAAGGGGAATTGTCCCCTCCTGACAGGACATGGTGAGGTCCATGGTCTCAACTCTGGCCACACAGCACAACCCAGCTGTGAGGAGGAGGCCAGCCCTCCCTCCCAAGAATGTGTGTGGTGTGGAGAGAGGAGGGGAGCTGGCCCAGGGCAGATTCTATAGAATCTTGGGTCTTCTGTATATCTGAGTCAAATACTTTTTCCTGGGGCTCGGGGCTCTGGGTTAGCAGGAAGTGAGGCCCCCTGGCAAATCTCTTTGGAAAAGAGGAGGCACTGAAGTGAACCTGGTCAGTCAGTGGATGCTTGGGGATGACTTAGTTCAACGTTCCTCATTGGACAGGTGAGAAAATTGCGCTCAGAGAGGGCCAGGACCTGCCCAAGGCCACGCAGCATGGAGGAGGCAGAGCTGAAGTTTACATTCCAGACTCTAGACTCCAAGACTAGCACATTCCATCCCACTGCCCTGAGTGTCCTCTCTGAGGCTCTGGGACTCAGATCTGGGGGACTGGGGGCTTCAGACAAAAGTCACTACTGTCCCTGTCCCTGGTCTCAAAGGAAGGACTCAAAATCTAAAGAATCTCTTTCTTTTTTTTTCTTTTTTTTTTTTTTTTTTTAGAGACAGGGTCTCACTCTGTCACCCAGGCTGGTGTGCAGTGGTGTGATCACAAGTCACTGCATTCTTAATCTCCCGGGCTCAATCCATCCTCCTGCCTCAGCCTCCCAGGTAGCTGGGACTACAGGCACATGCCACCATGTCCAGCTATTTTTGTCACTTTTTTGTAGAGTCTGGGTCTCACTATGTTGTCCAGGCTGGTCTTAAACTCCTGGCCTCAAACGATCCTCCTGCCTCAGCCTCCGAGAGCACTAGAATGACAGGCTTAAGCCACTGTGCCTGGCCTAAAGAATCTTCTGATTCGATAACCCATCAAGTTTATGAGCTACTTCCACAGGCACGGTGTCTCCTTTAGGACCTCATGGAAACTGGTTGAGGAGGGCAGTCTGTATGTGTTCAGCCCTGCCCCACAGATGATCCAACAGGGGTTAGAAAGAGATAAAGGACCCGGCCAAAGGCACCCAGCATGTTCCTGAAGGAGCTGGGATGCGACTTGTGGTCCCTGACTTCTGGCCAGGGCCGAGGCTCTTTCTGCTCCTCCAGCCCTGACTTCTGAGGACAAGGGGAAGACACCAACCTGCCCAGGTGACATCCCTGCCTCAGGCCCCGTGCTATCCCCTGTCCCCACCCTCCCCCAGCTTGGAACATAGACTTACTCCAGGAGGAACCAGGAAGCTGGTAGAATCTTTGTCCACTGTGTAGCAGATGGCAACCTGGTCACTTCTTCACCAGATACCAGAATAATGTAATGGAAGAGGCATCTTTGAATGGTGATAAAGTGAACTCTCATTCTTTCTGGCCTCTGCTGTCTTCCCTTGACCTCCATATACATCCAGGATCTAAGCCCAGCAGAGCAGAAGCTCCAGCTGCCCAGGAGAAGGGCTTAATTGTCCCCCATCTGGGGACATGCAGACTTGGGTTCAAATCCTGGCTCCACCCCTTTTAGCTCTGTGACGGATCCATGCTGAGCCTGTTTCTATAGAACATAAGATGATAATAGCTCCCACTTCTGGTGGGGAGGGTGGCCTGAAAATGTGCGTAAATTTTATTTGCATATAAAGCTGTAGTAGAGGCTCAGCGTGGTGGCTTACACCTGTAATCCCAGCACTTTGGGAGGCCAAGGCAGGCGGATCACTTGAGGCCAGGAGTTCACCAACATGGTGAAACCCTATCTTTACCAAACATACAGAAATTAGCCAGGCATGGTGGCACACGTCTGTAATCCCAGTTACTTGGGAGGCTGAGGTAGGAGAATCCCTTGAACCCGGGAAGTGGAGGTTGTGGTGAGCCGAGATCATGCCACGGCACTCCAGCCTGGGCAACAGTGAGACTCTGTCCTAAAAAAAAGCTGGAGTAGAAATGAAGTAAGTTGGGCCATCTTACCTAGTTTTGCTGAGTGACTTTGGGGAAATTCTTTCCTCTCCCCAGTGCTCAGTCTCCTACTGAAATAGAGTGTTGGGACAGCTCTCCCCTTAGACATGACAGTGGGGCCTTTCAGTGTTTTGGAGAGGTGCAGTGGCTGTGTTTGCATGTGCAAGCCTGTTCCTCGGGGTTCAGGGCACGAGAGCAACTGGCAGAGGCTGAGACAGAGTTCTGGGCCCAGGCCTGCCAGGAGTTGTAGCTGCTGAGTGAGGGAGCTCTGTGGGAGCCCCAGGAGGGGGGAGCATGGAAAAACTGAGCTTGGCCCTGGGTGAGTTGGGGCGGGGAGGCCGCGGTTCACAGCGCTGCACAGAAGCTGCACAGAAGCCCCACGCCTGAAAGGAGGCGAGTCAAGGCCTTATTTATTCACGATCAGGCCACTGGCATTTGCCCACGCTTGCACTTTTTGCAAATGTCCCGTCGGGAAGACCCAGCTAAGGGCCTGGCCCACAGCACGTGCTCTGTGACTATCTATCTGTGAAATGAACGAAAGAATTTGATCCTTATGAAATGCAGGTCGTCCTGACTCCCAGACGGGGCTCCTTGAGCTTACCCAGAACTCTGCTGTCAGGGAGATGAGGAGGCCATGTGGACTGCAAAAGCACGTAGTCTTAGGATTTGGGACGACCTGGGTTTGAACCATTCCCTTATCCAGCCATCCATTCATTCTTTGCACAATTGTTAACTGAATGTCCTCTAGATGCCTGGTGTTGTGTGACCTTTGGCAAATCACTTAACCTCTCTAAGCCTCAGTTTCTGCCTCTATCAAATGAGGATACGGTGCCACCTACCTTTCCAGGGTCGTTACATGGATTCAGTGAGATGCGGGAGGTAAAGCACATATGAAACCTGGGTCCTGGTAGATTGTCGTGGCTGTGATTGTGGACGGATGGTGGGTGTCGCGGTGGGGACTTTGGTGCACTGAGAGAACTGGGAGGGTCTGGACATAGTCTCACATTTGCTTGGAGAACTGTGCTATGAAAATATTAACCTGGGGCTAGTCAGTGGAGCAGGGACAGCTTGGGAGCCTGAATGGATGAGAGTGTCATGACACGTGTCAGCTAGACAGGAGGGGGTTTAGGGGAGGACTGCCCCCATTTTTTTTTTTAAGCCAGACCAGAAGGTCCCAGGGAAAGGTGTTCCCAGAACCTAGTGAGAGTGAAAACCTTGAGCAAGGGTCTCCCCGCAGAAGCAGGGGCGATGGGAGAACACAGCTGCAGCCAAATTATAGCACAGCAGAGAGGGCACAGGGAGAGAAATAGCCTGTCCTCCCTTCTGTGCACTCTCTTTCTGGGGTCTCCCATTGGCCAAACCCAGCTGGAAGCTAGAGGTCAAGGAAGGCCAGGGTACAATCTGTAGAAGTCAGCTTCCCGGGGCACAGCATGGTTCTGGGGAGGAAATGGAGAAGAATCAGCATGCACATGCTATCTCAGAATATGGGTATTACATTCCCATTTCACAGCTGGACAAACTGAGGCCTGGAGGCCCAGGGAGATGAAGTAACTCACTTAAGGCCATACAGAGCTGTATTGATGCCGAGAAGCTCTGTTCCAGCAGGTCCTTCCTAGGACAGAGGCTGGGAAAGTCTGGGTGCCCTGTGGGATTCTTAGGAATAATCATGAGCTCAGATAATCAGAGATGGAGGAGCCCTTTGAGGCTCCCTAACTACCCCCAACAGGTTACAGACACAGAGTCCAGGCGTAGAGATCAAAAGGACATTGCTCAGGGTCACACGGTAGTTACCTGCACACCTAGGTTCGGACTTTGGTCTCCTAAACCCCAGGCCTGTAAAACCTCTTGTTGCTTACTGCCAGGGGCCATGCCAGCTAGCGCTGGTTTCTTTCTGCAGGGCTTGGCAGGCAGAGGCTCTTGTAGCTGGACACAAGGGTGGACTTGTTCCGTAGGATGGGGTTCCCCTAGATCTGGCTGTCAGAGGCCAGGACCCTTGGGGGAAGCCCCGAGGGGTCTGCTTGGCTGTTTCCATGGCTCTGTTTGCGTGCGCCTGGAGCTCAGGCCTCCTCCACCTCCCCCAGGCAGGCCTGAGCCCCCGCTCTGCTCCCCCTCAGCTCCGGGCCCTCTCAGAGGCCCCGTTGTTTGCAGCGTGAAGTGGAAAATCCCACCCCGGCCTCGTGAATCATCCCAGAGTCACCCGCTCAGGCTTCAGCCCCTGGAAAGAAATGGCAGCGTTTTTCCACTGCAGAGAGAACAGGCAGGGTCTCGGATCAGGGGAGAGGGGCCAGGGGGCACCCACCCATGCTTGCCACAAACAAAGTGGGCACTGAGTAGGGGAGGGTCCAGCCCATGGCTAGCACTGGGCAGCTGGCAGTCCCCACCCAGGTTGAAGGTCTAGAGTGAAGGGATTGGCCAGGCCCAAAGCTGGGGCCGGCCTGTCAAGGAGTCGGCCTGTGGGCTGACATCACCAGGCTGGACCCTGGGTCCTGAGTGGCACTCAGAGTCTGCTCTGCAGATGTGGTGGATGAGGTCAGACTCTATCCTGGATGCCCCTATTTCTGGGGCAGAAGACATGCCAAGAGGGAGTGTCCAGGCCTCTGCAGCTGCAGCCCCACCAGGGTCCGTGAAGAAGCTGCACCCACGGAACCTGTTCCTCCCCAGAGTCCTGGACAAGCCCTTCACCCCGCTGGGCCTTGGCCTTCTCCTCTGTGACATGGGAAGAATCTTGCTTTTCCTCTTCACCTGATAACGTAGCAGAGGAAATTACCCCACCTTGGCCCTCCGCAATTCAGGAAATGCCAGTGCCAAGAAGGTTCCAGGATCTTTACTTCACAGATGCCCATAGAAGGGAAGGGACTTACTCAAGGCCACATACCTAGTTAGAGTCACACTTGACCAAGATTGTGTGGCAGCTGCGCAGGGTAGGAGAACAGTTCCAGCGGTCCTGGGTTTGAATCCAGGCTCTGCTTCTTGTTAGCTGTGTGGTACTGGGCAAGTCACTTTACCTCTCTGAACCTCCCTCTGGCTTCTTATCTGTTGAAATGGTATGGTATACCTACAGTGTGCTTCATCTCAGCCCCCTGCTTTTTCTTTAATTCTGGGTCCACCTGGGACAGTTGGGTCAAGGAGGGCCTCCTAAGAAGGGACATCTCTTACTGTCCCCTAGAAACAGATGTGAAAGAGGGTGGCTTAAAATTTTGAGTTGAGGACGTTCCAGAAGCTTGCTTAACAGAAATAACAGCTAACATTTTTTTGAGCATTAACTGGCTGCCAGACACCAGGATTAGCACTTGTTATAGATTATATGTCGGCTAGGTGCTATTATTAACCTCATTTTACAGCAATAGAAACAAAGGCTTGGAGCCTGGAAATAGCTTTGCTCAAAGCCACCCAGCTAGTAATTGGGGGGGGGGGGTGCCCTATGTGAACCCAGGCCCTTGGCGTTACACCATACTCTATTGCCCAGAGACAGCTGGAGAGGAGAAGTCAGTGACAGGTAAGACTGGCACCCAGAGTCCAGAACCTGCAAAACCAGACAACTCCTCTACCCAGCCATTGAGCTCTGCCAACAGTTTGGCCAGAGGTCCCCAGATGCTCAGAGGTAGCTGGGACTTACCCGAGGTCACAAAACAGTCCCTCCTCTTTCTGCCCAGTGACCTTGGTACCCATATCTGCCTGTCTGGATCTCTCCTCTGATATTTATTCATGGACGAGCAAGCACGTGGTGTTCACAGGCCAGAACTGTGAGCCGAGGCTGCCCAGCGTGAGATCTGGATTAATTACCAGCCAAACCGGACTGGGTTTTCAACACCGATTTTAACTCTGGGCAGGAAACCTGGAATCTCGTTGATGGTTATTTGAAACAAATGAATTCCCCAGGCCTCACACATCCTCGAAAGCCTGGCTTCCTTTGAAGGCTTCAGGCACAGTTCTTCACATCAGGCGCTTAGTTAATCCTCATTTACTCCTTCGAGGTAGATGCAGCAGTAGTTGTGGGACTCATCTTAACAGGGAGCATCTGAGACTCAGATAAGTGGGAGGAACTGCAGGAAGTCTGCCGTTATTAAGTGGTAAAGACAGGATTTGAACAAAGACCAGCTCATGGTTAGTAAGTCTGCTCGGCTGCCTCCCTTCCTGTGTAAAGAGAAAAGAGATGAAGATACGCAGATGTTCCTTAAATGCTGAGCTTCAGCGTTAGGTCTTTCACTTGTGGGAAATGGGGAGCTCTTAAATGTTGTTGAGCAGGCGAGGGCTTTTGGAAGGTGAATGAGGCTGTGTGGAGGAGGACTGCAGAAGGGAGGGAGTGGAGGAGAGAGTAGAGGCGGGGAGACCACTGAGGGAGCTGCTGCAGGTTCTTGGGAAGTGGTGATGAAGGCTGGACCATGCTGTGGCCATGGGAACAGATAGCACATTTGAGTGCCGGTTACGTACCAGGCACTGTGCTACACATTTATCATCTCTCATGTCATCCTTGGAATCCCATGGGGAGTGTTTTATTGCCTCCGTTTGTATGGGCATAAGCTGGCTAAAGACTTGCGCATTTTGTCAGTGACAGGCAGGGATCTGAACCCGGGCACGTCTGATTCAAAAACCCGCACCGTGCTCTGTGTGCTGTGCTGCCTCTTTGTGGGGCAGAGATACTTGGTGTGACCTTGGCCAAGTCACTTCTCTGTTCTGATTTTGCAGAGAATTTGGCTGAGCTCTGAGGTTTCTGGCTGTTTTATTTGATCAAACGTTTGAGTGAGCCCTGGGGATAGAAAGATGACTCATATCCCCTTAGTTCCTTTGAGGAGACCATCGTCTGATGGGAGAGACAGGCTTCTAAGCAGATAATTCCCCAAGTAAGATAGTGGTCTTTAAAATAGAGGAAAAGAGGGGACTTTGTCCAACTTCGGAAGGCTTTCTGGAGGAGGTGACACCCTAAGTTAGCTGGGTGATAAATGATGAGGGCTTTGGTGACTGAATAGTAGCTACTAAAGCCCAGAAGCTCCAAAGAGCATGAGTTTCTCAGGGAAGGGACCTCGGGGGACTCCTCCTCTGAGCCGTGGACTATCCATGCCCACAGCTGCAGGTGGGATTGTTGAATGACTGCTTGAGCCCATTCTCTGCTGCCAGTGAGCACTGTCTAATGCTGTCTGTCTTGTTTTTTCCTTAGGGTCCCCCTGGGCTGCCTGGGCTACCTGGAATCCCTGGTGCACGTGGGCCTCGGGTGAGTTATCTCACGCTGTCCTTTGGAACTCTTGTTGGCTCTTTTGGCCTGCGTCTCACTGCCCCCGAGGTCTCAGGTTTGCTGTGTGTCCTCAGGTTCTTCCCTCCCCATCTCTGGCACCCATATTTTGCTTTATCCATTTGGAGTGGACTTAGGGCTCTCAGACATGCTATATGGACAGATACGGCATGGAACAGCAATGACCTCTTGTAGGTCTCGGTTGTCCATTGGGGATATCATCCTTTGCAGCCTGGGGTGGGGAAGGTGGAGAAGCCTGAAGATCACATCCCCTTGGTTGATGGACTTCAGTGTTTGTCCAGGAAAAAAGCTGACTTGGGGAATATATGGCCCTTGCATCCCTCTTCCTGTTCCTGCAGGGCTCTCCTGGGGTAGGGATGCGGACATAGGTACCTGGAGGGGCCGTGCCAGGGAGGAGTTGAGTTCCTCCTGCTGGAGAGAGGCCGGGCTTGGCAGGCTGCAGTGGCTCGCTGAGCTAGCCCAAGCCCCAGAGGGAAAATAAAATAGCTCCTATGTGATGTCCTGGCACCTTCTTTTATGCTGCCTTATTTGACCTCTCACGCCCACCCCAAGCTCCCATGGGACAGTGTGATCATTCTCATTTTAGAGATGAGGAAACTGAGTAGGAAACGGCAAAACCAGGACTGGAACCCAGGCTCTTACCCATATGCTGGAACCCTTGGAGATCCCCTTAGAGGGAGACCTACCTGCTTCCCTTAGAGGGCTGAGACCAACAGCACCCGGCATCTGTGCCCAGGCTGAATCAGCCTTTCCCACGCTGGGTGCCTGGTGAGGCCCTGGCAGAGACAGCTGCCTGGGGCATATTTTTAGCTCTGAGCCCAGCGAATGGTTCTGGTTATGCAATTACCCAAGTCTTAGTTCCCTCCAGACCTGGCCCTGTGCTCCCTGGGCCCAGGGCTCTGGAATCTGCCATCTGAAGCGGCATTTCTTCCTGGCTTCAGAGCCTTCATGAAGCACGTGCCCCCTGGGGACCACATAGATATCGCAGAGGCTGCTAGCCCATGGGACCGTGCAGCCTGGGACCAGGAAGAGGCTGTTGACCTAGGCAGCCTATTCCCTTCCCCAACCTCCTGAGCCCCCCAGCCTCTGTGGTTTTGCTCTGGCTGTCCTCCTTTGTAAACTCCTCCTCCATTCATGTCTAAGAGCAAACACTACCTTTATTTCTGATGACCACTCCCTTCTTGGAACTCCAGCAGTGGTTCCCCTGTTCCCTGTGGATGGCGTGGGCCATTTTCTCAAAGCTCTCATTGACCACTGAACTCTGTTTGCTGAGCCACATGTGCAGGATCTCATTCCACCTTTCCAGCCATCCTGAGAAATAGGTTTCAATCTATTCCCATTTTACAGACGAGGAAACCGAGGCTCAGAAAGGTTTAGTTACTTCAGATAAAGTTAGAGAGTAAATGGCAGAGCCAGGATTGAACCCGGGCAGTCTGCCTCCAGAGCCTACCATTTATTTTTTATTTTTTATTTTTTTGAGACGGAGTCTCGCTCTGCTGCCCAGGCTGAAGTGCAGTGGCCGGATCTCAGCTCACTGCAAGCTCCGCCTCCTGGGTTTACACCATTCTCCTGCCTCAGCCTCCCGAGTAGCTGGGACTACAGGCGCCCGCCACATCACCCGGCTAGTTTTTTGTATTTTTTAGTAGAGACGGGGTTTCACCGTGTTTGCCAGTATGGTCTCGATCTCCTGACCTCGTGATCCGCCCGTCTCGGCCTCCCAAAGTGCTGGGATTACAAGTGTGAGCCACTGCACCTGGCCCAGAGCCTACCATCTTAAGCATCTATTGTGCTTATTTTTCTGGGTACTCACCTGAGCCCCTTCAGAGATAGGCCTTGGTTACCTCTCTGTCCTACATGATGCCTAGCAGAGTGCCCTGCGTGCAGGAGGTGCTGGGCAAATGATTGGTGAAGAGTTTTAATCTAAGAGTCAAGAATATTTCCACCAAGAAGTTGTGGAATCTTAGGCAAGTCCCTTCCCTCCTCCTAGCCTCAGTTTCCCCATCTGTAAAGCCTGGGGTCATGGTAAGGCGTTTCTAAGTTTCCACCTAGCTCTGGGTGAATGACTTTCCTGACACGCTTCTAGGCTCTTTCCCTGCAAGCCACCCCAGCCCCGCCGCCCGCCACCGTACCATCATCCTGTTTCTAGACTGGAAATTCCATGTATTATAAAATTCCAAAGATAATAGAACGCTGGATTAAACAATCCCGGCTCCTCTCTGCACAGATGGGGGCTCTGGAGGGGCTTAAGGAGGGGCATTCTTACCTGAGGTTGCCCAAAGCTCTGTGTCTTGCCCCTTCCTACCTCCACATATTCCCCCAGCCCATGGAGGGATGTCGGGGAATCCCAGAGCCTCCCCCACCTGGCTTTCTAGGCTGCAGCATTTATAGAATCAGTCTGCTTGGCTTTCAGTCAACTATGTGCCTCGTTTCTCTGCAAGGCTGGAGAGGGGTGGGGACGGTGGGGGGGGGGCAGGGAAACAGGAAGCCCCCACCTTCAGAAGCTGCAGATGGGGGAGCTGAGTGCTCTGGCCCACCATCTATGGGGCAGCTGGGGGCATGACTGGGGAGAGGCAGCCACCCCTGACCTTGTGCAGCCCACGCCTGGCTCTGGTGGAACTGGGTGTCACGAACCCCTCCTTCAACACCCCCTCCCAAACTCTGTCCAGTTCCCACTGAGCTTGTGGTTAGACCTGGTTAGACCCCACGAGCCTGGGCTGGGGTGAACATCGGGGGGTGTTCCAGATTCCTTAGAGACTGCTGGGTCCCAGTCATTTACAGAACAGAGGGTGAGACCGAGGCTGGGGATTGCGAAGTGGGGCTTGGAACTGGGACCCAGTCTCGATGCTTCCAGGTTCTGTCGCGTGCCAGGAGACAGTGTTTGGTGGACTGCAGGGGAGGGCAGGAGGGCTGATTATTTTGGAAGGAGGGTCACAAGTGGCACTAAGAAACTCCCCAGGCTCAGTAGGCTCTGGACACTGTTCCTTCCCGGTGCATTCGGAGAAGGGGAGGGTCCCAGTTCAGGCATCAAGGAAGAGGGGAAGAGGGAGGTGCCTTGGTTGGAATGTGACAGGCTGCAGCTGGGAAGCTGGCCTCAGAGAGGGAAGAAGAAAGCAGTTCACACACAGTTAGCCCGATGAATCAAGAGGGGCAGGGACGAGGGCAGTGTGCCTAGAGGCTGACTGGGCGGGGAGGACCACTGCACCCTTTGGGGTGCTTCTCCTCACCTCCTATGCCCCAGATTATTCCTGCTAGACAAAAACCCTCAAGTATTACCCGACTCTTAGGGCTCTATTTATATTACTGGGCTGGAAGACTCTCGGCCAGGGCTCTTGCTGGAGAAAGTGGACATAACAGGACCCAGCTGTTATAGAGGAACTTGGATATGGACTGGGAAAATCCAGCACCATGAATAAACTCTGGACTTGAAACCACCAGGCCCTGGACCCTGATCTCACTTGGCCACAACTCTACTGTATGACCTTGACCAAGCCTCCTGGACTCTCTGGGTCCAGTGTTCCCAGGTGCTCTGTGGTCTCTGGAAGTCCTTGAAAGCTTGGAGCTTGCAGGGGTTTAAGGGTCTGATCACATGTTGTAGCCATGGGAGAGGTGCACCTTTGTTCACAAGAGGTCAAATGCATCCTTCTTGAGCTCTCAACTCCAAAGACTCATACAAAAGTCCAGTTGGGGCCAGCTGCCATGGCTCACGCCTGTAATCCCAGCACTTCGAGAGGCCAAGGCAGGAGGATTGCTTCAGGCCAGGAGTTTGAGACCAGCCTGGGCAATGTAGCAAGACTCCATCTCTACAAAAAAAAAAATTAAAGATTAACCAAGTATGGTGGCCCATGCTGGGAGTCCCAACTACTCAGGAGGCTAAGGTGGGAGGATCTCTTGAGCCCAGGAGTTTGAGGCTGCAGTTAGCTATGATCATACAACTACACTCTAGCCTAAGCCACAAAGCAAGACCCTGCCTCTAAAAAAAAAAAAAAAAAATCCACTTGAAGCTGGAGGAGCTCTAGAGGGTTCCCTGGAGGAGATGGCACTTTGAGCCAGGCGTGAAGGATGGATCAGGTTTCAAGCAGAGGAGATGGATGAGAAAAGATGCTGCCAGACGAGGGAACATCATGGGCAAAGGCAATGAGGAGAGAAAGTACCAGATACATGGGAGGGAAGTGCATAGCTAAGAGTGGTTTGAGCCTGAAGAAGCTGGGAAGGGCTGATGGGGCCAGGCTGAGAGAGTGTGGAGAGAAGGTAAAATTTAGGGGTGAAGGACTTGTGCTCTGAGATCAAGGTCCAGCTCTGCCTCTTAGCAGCTGGGTGATCTGAGACAGTTACAAACCTCTGTGAACATCAGCATCCTTGTCTTCAAAATAGTAATAACACTATGACCTACCTTCCCAGTTAATAGGATCAAATGAGATGGCACATGGGATGTGCTTCCCACGAGGCCAGGCACGGAGGGGGTGCTCCCAAAAGTAGGCTGAGTGGCCACGACAGTGTTGCTAGGGCTTGGTTTGGGGAGAAGATAATAAACCAGTGGGTGTAGGGAAGGTGCCAGGCATTGCAGTCAGAGATGAGATGGCCCCTGTTTTTTGTCACCTTATTTGTTTTTGTTTCTTTTCTCTTTCAGGGTCCCCCTGGACCTTATGGAAATCCAGGTCTCCCCGGCCCTCCTGGAGCCAAAGTGAGTATTTGCTGGAGATGTGGCCACGGAGTGGGTGCTGGGGTTGGAGCCGTATTCGCGGTGCTTCCCAGGGGCGCCTGGTGGGTGCTGGAGTTGGAGCCATGTTTGAAGTGCTTCCCAGGGGCGCCTGGTGGGAGGGCTTCAGGGGCACTGAGGGGGATTCCCACCCAAGCCAGGATCACCCTCTGGACCCCTTTCCAGGGCTGGGCCCTGTGCCTGGTCTGGTGACACAGTGCTTCCGGTTGGGAGAGACTTGGGGGAGTCGCGCAGTTGGAACCCAGAGCCTTCAGGGCAGTGGGCAGAGGGGGGATTTCTTGCTAAATAGGGAAGGCTGGCCTTCAATGTCAGACTAAGAACATAAGGCTTACCGTGTTGTAAGATGCATCCTGGGGAGGGATGTGGAAAGATCACGTTTTAGAAAGCTCACTAGATGCCATGAGGATGAAGTGGGGGTGGGGAACCAGAGCCGAGGCCAGGAGACCAGGGGAGATACAGGGGAGAAAGGAGGCTAGTCCGGCCAACTTAGGGGTGTGGGAGGAGGTAGGGTGGAAAGGATGGTGGTGGGTGCAAGGTGAGATTCAGTTACAAACACCAGACAGTTTTTAGCTCCCTGATATTAGCGTTGGGGACTGAACTGGGTCCCAGGAGGGAACTCGGATGATGTTGCATGTGGAAACATGTAGCCCGGTCAAGTGATCATTTATGGACAGATATTATGGAACTCAGGATTGTTCTGAGCTGGAGATAGAGCCAGGGGGAGGCTGGCGCAGAAATGCCACTTCCCCCAGGGAGTCTTCTTGGAATACTCGAGTTCACTTTTAATGAGACCTTAGTGGCTGATGCTTTGATGATATGGGAACAGCACTTGCTGAGCTCTTCAGTCTGTTCCTGGAGCTCTGGCAGAGGGCAAGGTTGTTGGGGCACTGCATTGGAAGTGAGAAACTCAGAGCACCAAGAGGAGTGCCGGAGCCAGCAACATTTAGGTCATGGGAAAAGAAAGCTTGCGGAATGGCTGGAGAGATAGGAGGAGGGGAAGGAGGATGCTAAAGTCCCTGAAGCTAAGAGAGCAGTGCCTGTGCCAAAGGAGCTGTGGAGGGCAGACGGGCTCCTGGCTCAGGGGCCTCCCAACCCAGCCTGTGTCATCTGTGGGGTAACCAGGTGAAGTGCACCCCTGGGCTTTGGTTGGGCCAGGTCCAGGGCCATTCTTTGATAACCCAGCTGCAAAGGTTGAATGGCTTAAGGAAAGCCCTTAACTGATTGGCTCCAGGCCATGCACAGTGAGCTGCTGAGCAGCCGCTAAAGCCCAGCTCTCCTGAGTCAAGGAGTAGGACTCCTTCTGGCCCATCAGCTTGCCTGGGAGCTTTGGACAGAGGTCTCACGTGGTAGTCCTGGGCGTATGGATCTGTGGTGCCAGAGTCTTGGGACAGAGCAGAGTGCAGGAGCACTGACCTCAGCCCCTCTAGATCTGTGACTCTAAGTCCAGGGCTGGGCTGGGTTCCTTTTTGGAAGGCAGGCAGTGGAGGCCTCAGGTGTCCAGTGCTTAGCAGCTGCCTGGAGGTGCTCTGGGCTTTCGTAGAGCGAACACTGATTATAGTACCAGCCATATACTGAACCCTTCCTGTGTGCCAGGCCCTGTGCATGCATTTGATATGGCTGATCTCATTTGATCCCTACAAAGACCTAAAGAGATGGGTGGAGATAGCGTACCCATTTACAGATGGGGGAACTGAGGCACGGGTCGATGAAGACATTGTCTAGGAAATGGCAGCAGAACCTGCTCCCACGGGTCAGGCAGAGAGGCAGGAACTCATTTGGAGACTTCTGCTTTGCAGAGGCTGTGGGTACATCAAGATGCCGAGCATCAGCAGCTGTTTTGAATGGCCAGGCTTGCCCCTTCCTAGCCTGCTCTGGGACCAGTGGAGCCTGTCTCCTCCCACCCCCAGACTCACTCCCTGCTCCTGTGGTAGCAGATGCTCCATCAGCTCCTCCTGCTGGCCCTGCTCAGAGCACTGTGGGACCTCAGTACCAGCACCATGGTAGCCCACCCCAATCTTGCTAACAGATGTGCCGTGGTAGGAGGAGGGCCTGCCAGCTGTTTCTCCTCGCATTCTGAGACACATCTCTGAGTGTGGCCACTGAGGCTTCTCCCTAGCAAGTGAGTTCTCCTGCCACCACGTGGGACTGGAAACCACGGACTCGGGGCCTCACGGACAGGACTCCCATTTACATCTGTGTATAGCAGACAAGGGTGTAGGTTCTATAAAATACACTGGAATCAGAGGCTGCTTCTCTCATTGGGACTTGCATAAAATGCCAGGGGGAAACATCTTGCTCTTTGCCTGGACACTTGGCCCTGAGGCCAAGGGTGAACAGAGGTGGCCCCCGGGCAGGCTGGTTAGGTGGGAGGCCCAGGTAACTGGGCCAGGGCCCTAGGCTGATCTGTGGCATGGGCAGGAAAAAGTTAAAGCAGAGGCCCTCCCTGGATGGGAGTAATGACTTGGCTGAGATTGGATGAGAAAGCTGTGTGTCTGCACGAATGGGTGGGACCCTGGGAAGAGGGTCCTAGGGTCCTCACTGTTCAGCAGATCCCCTTTGGGATGGGAGGTGACCTGGTGGGACTGTAGGGCTGGCTTCCCCCAAGGCCTGTGCTGGCCCCTGATGCTGAGCATCAGCAGCTGTTTTGAATGGCCAGGCTTGCCCCTGCCTAGCCCGCTCTGGGACCAGTGGAGCCTGTCTCCTCCCACTGCCAGACTCGCTCCCTGCTCCTGTGGTAGCAGACACTCCATCAGCTCCTCCTGCTGGCCCTGCTCAGAGCACTGTGGAACCTCAGTGCATGGTGTCTGGGGCCACCCATCCATTCATCCTCCTTCAGTCAACAAACATGTATTGAGCACCCACTATGGGCTGTTGACAGATAAATCAGTCACACCCGGCAGGGCTTGCCCTGGGGGCACAGAACTGGATTAGCCCCATGCAGTCATCCCTTCAGTGCATCTCCACCTTCAGGTGCTTATGGCCTAGTGGGAAGACGATCCCTCTGCTACACTGAAGGGTGGGAGAGATGGGTGGTTTGAGGAAGACCAAGAAAGAGAGAAACCTGAGGTGAGGGACCTCATCCCTCCTGAGAGTGCAGAAGAGTGAAAGTTCAGAGGGCCAAGGGACCTTGCCTGGATCATGGCTGGGCAGTGGGGGGACTGTATTTCAGATCCTTGGGTTTGCCTGCCAGAAGGAGCTTTGTCAGGGTGTCACAGCTGGTACAGGCCAGAGCCAGGCTACATCCCATCTTCCTCCTCCAGAGCCCAAGGCTCTGCCCATCTACTATCTACCCACATATCCCATGTTCCAATCCAGCAGCGAAGGGAGCTCGTCAGCTCCAGCACAGAGTTGGATCCAGGACTTTGAGAATGAGGCAGAGAAGCTAGGACCCTGAGAGGATGTGTTTCCACTTAGAGCAGTGCTGATCTGTGGCAGGTGCTGCAGAAGGGGCAGCTGTCAGCATGTGTGAGGCACTGGGGCTATCAGGGACACAGGCAGGCATGGTCCCTGCCCTTGGGGAGTGTAGAGATGAGCGAGAAAGAAAAACAAGTTAACCATATTGACAAGTGCAGACTTACGCCATGATTAGGTCTCTAGGGCTCCACGTGAGAGGCCCGGGGTGCTCAGAGACCCCACGATATATGGATTGATCCTGTCCAGGAGGTGAGGGACACCTTCTCAGAGGGCAGGAAGGTTGAACCAAGGTCTGAAGTATAGTGGACACCTAGTCAAAGGGGCTGGAGGAGGCTGGCAACGGCAACAGGCCTGGCAGTTGGTGGTATGATTTTTGGACTTTATCCAAAGAGCAGCTGGAAGACCTGAAAAGGATTTCAGCAGAATAGACATGACCGGATCAGGTTTGCAAATGTCATTTAGGCCATTTAAGAAGCAGAGCTTGGCTGGTGGCCAGTAGGAGGGTTGGAGCTGCCCCGGGGCAGGGTGCTGATGCTGGACCATGGTGGAGTCAGGCGGGATGCAGGTGCTTGGTGCAAATGAGGAGCTCTAGGGCAGAAGTGGGGGTCTCCTTCTGGAGAGGGAAGCTAGTGCTCCCCACCAGCACTCCCTGCACTGGGCCATGAGGCTCCTGGTCCCACTCTTGGGCAGCTAGCCACCTTGTCTCTTGTCTGGTCCACTTGGTCTGCAGTGAACTAGCCAGCATGACTATGGCCCTTGGACACTGGGAAAGAGAAGTGGTCAGCAGAGGGCAGGCTCCATGGCCCAGGTGGCTGCTGGCAGAGCTGATGTGAACTTTACCTTTCCTCTTCCTCTAATGTTCCTTCCTTTGGACCAGGCCCTGTGCTGGGCACTTGAGATCAGACATGGAATATACAGGGGGCTTCCAGCCCAGACTATTATAATCCTTTGTGATTTAGTGCTCATTTGTCTCATCCCCTCTCTGGGCCTCAGCCACCCAAGGAAAATGTGGAGAAGTTCAGAAGATATCAAGAAGAAAGTGAGCTACCTGTAGTGGTCCTGCCCAGTAATAAGCTCTGAGAACATTCTGAGCAACCTTTGGGCCAGGCCCTGGCCAAGAGCTTTATATACTTTGCAGAGCAGGTATTATTACCCTCATTTTACAGATGAGGAAATAGGTCCAAGGCGCCAAGGATCTTGCCCAGAGTCACATTTCTGGTAAGTGGCAGAGCAAGCATTCAAATCCTCAGCTGTCTGACCTCAAGGCGACAATCTAGCCCTAACTCCACAGCTCTCTAGTCTTCCCTGTGTGTGTCATATATGTGAGTGTGGATCCACTTTGTTGTGGCTGGGTATCTGGCCTTCCTCACTTAACAATTATTGTGAACATTCTCCTGTGTTAGCCACTTGGCATCCATCACATATGATTTAATGGCTTCATGGCATTCTATCAACACTAATATCCCAGCTTTGTATAACTTACTCCATTTGTAAAAAAAATCAATTCCACTTTGAATTAATATACAAATATTATCTTGATTAACATTACT